TGGTATCTGTAATATTATCATCTAAGTGTTGGCTCCCAGCACCTGACAGGGTGTCCTTCAGGTGTACCGTTCGACTCCGTGACCACCAGTGATGGTCATGGAATAAGGTGACCTGGAAGTGACGTCATTGGTGGTTATTGTTGATATTCATAGACTGGAAGATTGAAACTCCTGGTGTTCTTCCCAGTCCAACACAATACTGGTAATGTACCGGGTGATTGTGTCTCATTGGAGTTACAATACCTGGTGTAGGTATGCCATTCTTAGTCGACTCCTGCACACACCTTCATTAGCTCGGCCTTCTGCTGTTGTTGAGGGGAGGTCACAGTCATTATAGTGTTTACTCTTATGAATACTTTTTGTTGTGTTAATTAATGATCTTCTTGAAATCGTGAATGAAGATGTCATAAAAAAAATCCAAGAAGAAAAGGGGAAAACAGAGCATGAAAGAAAACGAATAAACTAAGTGAGAGAAGATAGTGTCCCAAAATTATGTAAGATGAGGGTTAACAGGAAATTCAGGCGAGAGAGAGAGAGAGAGTATTCTTTCCACGTTAGGGCGGGCAGGGTGTAGGGGAGGGCCGCCCCTAGTGACTGCTGCACTGCCGCCTCTCACCACCACAACCCCTCTGCAGCGTTGCGTCACTCCCACCGGAACCTCCATGATCTTAGATAAGGCCCGATTCTGACGTCACAGGCGGAAATACAGTAATTCTCGCTGTGGCACCATTTGGGAGGTGTGTCGCTGGGGTCATAATGGCCTGGATTGCTGCATGGGTCGCCTGCCTGTCGTAAGGCTCGGACAGGGTACCGTAGTTGAGAGGTGAAGTAACTAACATGTAGAAAATAGTCACATACTCAGCAGGTAGTTTTAACACTGACCCCCACACAGCTATTTTTAATGGTGGTTTACTGTAGAGGCTGTAGCGGACGACACAGCTTAATAAAAAGAATTATGTCAACTGATAATGAATACTGACTGGTTTGTTGGCGTTAAGATGCGGTAAACCTTGTCACTCTGTAAACCAGCACCGGTAGACATCTTTCTGTGTCGCAAACTCACATGAGTGGACAGTGGCTTGTATCGTCTAAAGCCACACCACCAGTAAACTGACTAATAGACTGAAAGAGAGAGAGAGGAGGGAAGTGGGGGGGGGGGGCGTGGGTGGTGTTGATGGGCGAGAGAGATGTTGCCGCGGCCACATGAATTGACATCCAGTTGGCCACCACAGCCCATGACCCACACCTGCCCAACCACCTGACCTACACCTGTCCAACCACCTGACCCAACCTAACCTCATCCTAACCTTTACTCATTCATACAAACACAAAGATCACATTTACTGTGTTGAGTTAGCATATTTGCAACTTACCGTTCTCTCCCTTCCCCTCTCCTCTCCTTGCCTCTCTAGACCACAGTGTAGAGAGTTTCATTGTGACTTACCCATGCAAAACAGTCACAGTCTTCATGGGAAAAGCGAGCAGTGTGGCGTGAGCAGTGTGACGTGTCGGTGTGATGGTGGTAGCAGTGGTGGTGAGGGTGGTGGTAGTGACGGTGGTAGAGTCTGCGTCGCCAAGCCTGTGCGTACGTCACAACTCTCCTAATGATCCGCACCCTCTATCTGTCCCTGGTCAGGCCGCACCCGGTGTAGCAGACCAAATTACACCCCCTTTAGTTTATACCTGGGTGTATTCTGGCCGAGGTCATTTAAAACCCCGGGTATATACTGGTGTTGGTCAATTATCGCCCTGGAGTAAACTTGACCTAGGCTGTTTTACACTCCCCTGGGCAGGAACACAGTACTTCCGAATTTATTAGTACTAACAAAATTACCCGGCTTTGCTCAGATTAGGTATATACTGTCACAGTTTGCCCTTCCTGACACGAGTGACATCCCATCCCAACCCAACCCAACCTAACCTAACCTAATCTAACCTAAAACTTAACCTAACCTAATCCAACCTGACCTAAGCCAACCTGATCTAACCTAACCAAACCTAACTATACCTATCTTAACTTTACTCAACCCAACCAAGACGAAGAGAGGGAGGAAGGAAAGTGGGCGCAGTGACAAAGTGATGGTGAAAGAAAAGTCAAAGGAAGAGAAAGGAGGAAGGCAGGGAGGTAAGAGGCGGTGGTGGGAAGAGAAGAAGAAACAAAAATAACTGGAAGGAGACGGTAACAGTAAAAGAGAAGGGAAGAGGTAAGGAGGAGGATAAAAAGAGGGAGGAGGGGTAACGAGAAAAGAGAAGGGAGGGCCAATGGAAGACAAAGGAAACTGGTCCTCAGAGACAAGGAAATACCAGTTGACTATAATTTCACATTGGACTGCTTGAAGGAAGAATAATCACCACTTGACAACTTTTACCCTCACCTGGGAGAGGAAGGAAGGAACGAAGGATGATAACAGTGTGAGAGAATAGAGAAGATGAGAATGGAAAGAGAAATAGAGAATATTATTATTATTACCATTATTATCAGTTAAGTTACTAGGCTGCCTAAAGTTCAATTGGTCCTGGGGTGCCTAAAGGTCAGTTGCCTCCCCACCCCCCTCCCCTCGGGGATCGAGTCCTGTTTATGTTGCCTCGACACAAACCATGTTATTTAACTTTTACGTTTATCCTCTTTACCACTGATTGGCTCGTTAGCCACTTGGGCGGTCAGTCGGTCCGTCTCTGTTATGCACTGTTGGCAAGTATTGGATATGCACTGGCTCCTGAATGTATCTGTACCTGCGCCAGTGTTGGTCAAGTCTGGTCATGAATGAGCTCACACTCAGTGTTGTCACAACTCTCTGGCAAATTGTTCTTAGTTCACAATTCTAACCCGGAAAAAGTTTGCACAAACAGTTTTCTAGACTTGCGGCTTCTTCAACCATGAGCTGTGAACCCCTAGTGGGATGGGCATCCGCCAGCTCCTGGTATGGCCACTCGACTGAGTAGTGCCCTCTGAAATGCTTATAAACTTAAATTAAGTCACCCCTAGCCTGTCTATAGTATAAACTAGGTAATAATGCAGGCTTTCATATCTCTCTGGGTAGCTGTAGTGCAGGCACCAGTCTCGTGGCCCTCCTTTGGACATTTTCAATTCACTGACGGATTCTAGTATATCTCGGTGACCAGATGGGGTGACAGTACTACAGGCAGGGAAGCACCTCACTCTTGGAGAGCGTTATGGGGGACGGACTGTCTAGATATCTGAACGACCTTTCTATAAAACCTACTAGCTTAGTTGCTTGATTCACCTTCTTCCCACAATGGCCCGAAAACTTCAGTTTGCTGTCAACTACACACTCAGGTCTTTTTCACATTCAGCTTTTATTAATGCTGTTTCTTCACCTCATTGGGACATGTGATACGCTTTCTTACTGTATGTACGACCTACTGTAGGGTGCATCCTCTACACATCGTGACATTGAATCTTAACAGCCATTACTTTGACTGTTCTTGAAGCTGACAGAGATCTTTCTGCAGCTCTTCACAGTCCATTTGGTTCTTAATATCCTTGATTAACTTGGCATCGTCCGCATGTCATTTATAAAGTAAACAAACAGCAACAGGCTCAGTACACTTGCCCTTTGGTACCCCATTTATCACGAGTGCACATGGGATGAAACTCGTGTCATTTATCACCACACACTGCTTGCGGTCATGAAGAAAGTCTCCGATCCACACTAGGACACTTTACCGAATCCCGTACCCTTCCAGTTAAATTCTCAGCCTTTCATGGGGTACGCTGTCGAAAGCCTTGGCAAAATTGAGATATATATTGTCGATATAGCCACAATGTATATTTGGATTTTGCCAAGGCTTTCAACAGCCACACAGCAAGTGTCACCAACACTAGGTCTTGACCCTTAAAATTGACACTTCAATATAATTGTATTCCCTCATTATCATCCATGAAATTTCTTATCTTATTTAACCTCTTTAATAACTAAACTAATGTCTGCAGTTCAGATTCCAAACATACTGTATTGTATTGTACTGTACTGTACTGTACCAGTAACCAAGACATTCAAGAATGAATTACATTTTCTCTTTTGACTGTTACGCATTGGGTATTTGTTGCGTCTTTGTCACTCTGTTGCAATGGCATATAACACACATTCACAATGTAAATCATAAAAAACACCGAATCATGGGTGTAGTTCTTGCATGTTCGGCTCATCCGTCGTGTGATGTAGAATCGCACTGAAATTGAAATTGTAAATTATTTCAGCATAAATAGGGGTTAAATTGACTTATGGGCTGGCTTGGAACCTAACAATCATTTGCTGCTTAATATTGTGTATGAGAAATTGAATTCACAATTACAAATGAACGAATCTTGAATATAATTTTGGAACAGTCTGTTCGCAGCCCAGGTCTTCCTTTATTCGTTTTTTTATACATTTAATAATGTTATGTATTGACTTGTGAATTAATATGCCTTTTGTTTAGTTAGTTCTGGCTGCTCCAGGAACACATCCTCCATTTATTACACTGTTTCTATAGGAAAATCCCTTTCACTAAACAAATTTTTGCCTTACACACGACTTCCACAGAATGGATCACTTTCATATAGCGAGGAATATCTGTGGGTATCATAGGCCCTTTTGAACCTGACAGGTCCGTATCTGTAGCACTCAGAGGGCCTTCCACACAGGTCCATTGAGAACACACACTAGTCACTGTACATGTGTTGTTTGTAATATAACGATGGGTTTAAAGTCCTGTAGCTTCCTGTGTATATTCACCACACTCGAGTTCTTTGAGTCGAAGAGGGATTTTAGGAATAGAATCTAAATAGTGTACATAGTGTCAAGAAAATGCAGGATACTTACTACTGTTTCATTTTTTTGTATGTGATACCAAGAATAACATTACATTGCATAGATAGGAAGTGTTAGCATGCAAGTTTATATTTTTTTAAGCAGTCCGATGTTTTATATTTTACACATTATATTCACTCTGTCTGTTTCAGTTGTCACCTGTACTTATTCACTGTATTTTTACAGATACTGACTCCGGGAGTGGAGACGGACTGGTGGATCCAGACGCACCGAGACCTCATCTGCCGGACCTGGTCACCCACAGGACACCACTGACTCAGCTGACAGTGGAGAATGTCCGTCATCATGATCAGTTAATGCAGGGGCAGGAGCAGGACTCTGCTGACCCAAAAGTGGCCAAGACTGGCATTCTCAAGGGTGGTAAACTTTGGAAGAACGGTGACAGCAAAAAGACGAAAGCCAAAGTAGAGGAGGAGGAGGTGGATGAGCCACGGCGCTCAGTGAGGTTCTCTGGGAGGGACGAGTACAGTCTGTTGGAAAACCTGCCACTGGACAAGATCCCCTTAGATGCTGCAAATTCAGCTGCACTGGCCAAGTTCATGCCAAAGCTAAGGGAGCTGGGAATGTTGCTTGGGGAGGGACGCGAGGACTGGCACGTAGAACTCAGCCCCATCAAGCCAGAACCTGATGGTGGGGCTGGGTTAGCCAACCCAGATACATCATTTGAGGACCACCAGAAGCAGCTTCCGCCGCAGATGGATGACGAACAAATCAAAGAATCTATGCAGCGCTATGATGAAATGCGACGCCGAATTGCTGCAGCTGAGGGTCGTGACAACACTAGCATCTGCAGTGATGAATCAAAAAGTTCATCTGATTCCCAATCATCAGATTCAACTATGACTGAAACGAGAATTCGAAGGTTAGAGAATGCTGATGTGGCACATGTAGCAGGTGGGGTCATGAGAAGTAACAGTGAAGTTAGGAGAGCCATTGAGCGTAATGCTCTAAGACGATCCCTCATTCGTTTTTCTGATCCTCGGAAGAAAGATACAAACAAGAATGACAGAAATGATAAGGGAGAAACATCATTGTTAGAAAAGCTGAAGTGGCTGACAGCTTCAGAAGATGCAACTAATGGAAATTCTGAGCACAAAGATGATGATGACAAGGACCAGGAGGGTGAGGAGGACAGAGAGGAGAGGGATCTCTGTAAATCTCTTGACCCCAAGGTACAAGAGACCATTGCTCAGTACCGCAAATTGGCAGAGATGTTCAACAAAACCACATCACTGCGTGCAACTGACATCTTAGTACCACGCGATGTTCGAGAATGGAAGCTTCAATCAGACCTTTTTCCAGACCACAAAGGACCATCACTAGATTCTGAAAGTGATGAACTAACTGAGACTCATTCTGGATCTACGACACCTACAGTTTTCCAGGCCATCCCAGCTGTGTCCATCGCAGAGCTTATCGCTGATGAAGAAAACGATAAACTAATTTACAGCGGTGGTGTAAGATATACCCGAGAGGGAACTTTGCCAACAGCCTTAGAGGGGGGTGAGGAACAAGAAGAAGGTCAGCAGGCCCCAGCTTCTGCAACTTCAGCTTCTGATGCAAGGAAGCAGTTCCTCTCACAGATGTCGAGTCATGCAAGTGTGCCACTTATTAATGGGGTCTCTGCTCATCCAGGAGATCGCTCTTCACTTGCATCGAATTCAGATTCATACACTTTTGACGATATTGATGAAGCTCTGCATGATGACCGCTCCTCATCTGTGCCTTCCTCTTCACAGTCATCACCTCGACTGTCGGGGAAAAGTGATATGGATGGGACAAGCACAACAGAAAGTGGCTACAGCAGCAATGAAACAAATGGAGAGCTGTGTCCAGTGAATGGTCTGCCAATGAGTGGAGCACAAATTCTTGGATTGCCACCTGGTGGTGTTGACATAGATGAGCTAGCCGAATTTGTGCGCCAGGATGCTGGTCGAATGGAGCGCCTCCGTCGCCGTTATGATGCTGGGGAACTAGAGGATCATGGTTTCAACAGACGACCATCAGTACGGGGTATTAAGCCTCGATTTGGATCCACTACTGACCTTTTGAAGCAGATGGCAACACAGCTAGCGCCCCCTACCATGGCTCAACCCGGTATGGCTGGATCACACATGACCTGGCCATATCGGGACGTAGGGGATGAGGAATCTGGTCCCCCTCCGCGACGTCGGGCAGCCCCCAACAGAGCAGTTCTTCCTGCACTGCAAGAAGATATTCTCTATATACCTACATCTGACCTTTCCCCACAAGCAGCTCCTTTATCTTCTACTTCTGAAACTACAGTTACTTCTCTCACGCACACCAAGGCACCGCGTGTTGTCCACGTGTATGCTAGCACAGGAGACTTAAGAGCTCCACCACCACCACGATTGGCAGTTCCAAGAGAATCCCCTCCACCAGATTTAATCCGACCTGGCGTTGCTCCAGTACCTGTTCGAGCACACAGTCATTCCTCTTTGTCTCAGGCACCACCAGATGGACCCCTACAGGGCATGGTGGTTGCTCCACAAATGCCCACTCCAGTTGTACATGAACACCATTACCCAACTTGCAGAAGGCCTTCCTCAGTGCATGGTCATTTGCCTCCAGATTCCTTAGTGACCAGGGGTGTACTTCCACCTCCTGTGGCTCGACCCCATTCCACACTTTCTCACTATCCAAACCCACGTGTCCCTGTGCACTACCATCCATATGAAGAGCCACCACCATCCCGTGCCCCATATGAAGGTAGCCATACACCTCTAGCCCAACGTGGGTCTTACCCTGGCACCATCCCTGCCCCAATTCCTTCCTCACATTACCAACCTCCCTTAATCCCTCATGACCCAGCAAGATATCCTAATCCTCCTCCCTATGGTTCCCAGCACCCACATTCACGACCACCAATAACATCACCAAGAGAAGGAACACCTTACATACACACAGCACATCCGCAAGTGCACTCTGTGCCTCAGGTATCCTCTGTGCCCCTAGGACCTGTACAAGTGCACCAATGTGGACCAAGACACCCTCCTCATGCCAGACTAGTTGGTGGAGGGACCGTCACAGACCAAGCATGTTCTCCAGTTTGGTCTCATCAACAACCACAGCCGCCTCACCCTCACATTCACCAGAACTATCTACCCCATCCTGTGTCTAGTCACCTGAGCTATACCACACCTATAGTGCCAGAAAGCATCACGGCGACACGACCTTCAGGACCTGTTGGGCCCCCAATAGGTCCACCTATCATTAATGGGAGTGTTGGGAAGCTTGAAGGGTTGAGAGATGAACGAGGTGTTCCTGAAGGAGCGTCGTCTTCTCCTCGTGGCACTGTAGACCCTCAATATCCTCCCTCTCATGGTTCACCAACCCAAGACACCACCCTGCTGCACCGGCACCCCCCGCCCGTCAATATGACCTGAGTGCTCCCTTCAGCACACAGGTAGCCAAGTGTAGTCAGGTGTGGTTGATCCCTCACCCGGCCAAGTTCAGGACCCGGCCTTAAGCCAGTTCCATCCCAGCACTGGCTGGTCCCACCCAGGTCCAGCCTTGTACAAGAGGATGGTGACCAGCTGTGGCTTGTCAGTCACAAATCTGCTGACAAGCTACAATATTAGATAAATGAAAATGCTCATTTACAAGATGGTTTAAAAAACAAAATGTTGTTTTATAGTGTGAAAATATAGAGTTGCCACATTCTCCTGTTGGCAAATATTCTTTTGGTGTCTTCCCGAGTGATATGTGAAAAAATACACGTTGCCAAACTATTCACGACCAAATATACTTGCCAAAATTGTTGACAGTGTGCACACCACAATCCTGAAACTATTTTGTTATGACAGTGAGGGGTAAAGACAATCTTCCTTTTTTCTTGCTCTAGTAAAAACTAATAACCTACTTAATGTATTATATAAAGTTTCCAGTAGGGTGCATGTGACAATATGTAGATGTCTTTTACAATTGATGTGAATGGACTTTTTTTTATTATTATAACAGGCAGAATACTGAACCTTCCAAAGAAATGGGAAGAGAATATTTTTTGTTAAGATATGCAACAGGTGAAGATATTTTCAGAAGTATGAGTCAAGGTACAGTGATGCTATGCTAACAGTCAACCTCCCTTAATCTTATTCCTGAAACTTGAATAGTGTACAATAAACGTTTCTGTGCATTTCCATTATTTCAAAGACATAAAAGACATCTATAGCTCATCTCATTAATAAATCCTCCCAAAAACATTAGATACTTTTGAGTTACAGTTTGTTGGAGGACATGACAAGGTGAGCACACCATATTTTTTACAGAAAGGTTAACATTTACTTTACTGAGACTATTATAAAGAATTTTATGGCTTGAATATATTTTTATTACAACTTAAAAGTGATTTTATACTGATCTGGCATTTTCTCTTGGCAGAAAATGTCTTGATAATTTAGCTTTATGGGTCTTAGCATGCAGCTGGTGTCCTGGTTCATTGCTCCTGTCTTTTACATTTTACAAGCAACATAAAGATAGTCTTCCAGGGTTTAAATAATTAATCAGAAATCATTTAGATTATAATTATGACAAATAATAATATTTCCATGAATGAGACCAAAAAATTACTCTCTGCATTATATGATAATTTGATGTTCTGAGACCATGGTGGAGGCTACTTGAAGACACTTTTCATTCTCTTGAGCACTTTTTTCACACTGTTTTCTTGCTTTAGATGTCGCAGTATTTTCCATTTTAAGGAAAATAGAGCTTGCGACACAAGTTACATTGGTTATTGCCTTCTTTGACTGTGCAGTTGTGCAGGTGCAAAGAGGAATCATTAACGGCTGTACGATACCAATTTATTTTAACACACAGACGATTAGCTAACAAAAACATATACAGTACAGTACAGACATCCAGAAAAACTCAGTGATAAAATATGTACAGTATTGGTTTCTGTTTTAGGCCCTTTAACTTCCACAATGAAGATAAATGTTTTTTGACATGCAGTAGAGAAATACAGTATTGTTGAAAGGTCTTTGTGGAATCATTAGCTCAAACTGTAGGCATGTGTAGAGTATGACTCACTTGTATGTATAACTTGATCTTGCTCTTTCTAGCAGTGGCAGATATTCGTGGATTTTGATAAAAGACCACTTGTTCTTAGATACTGTATAGTGTAAATACACTGCTCATTTTTATATGCATTCATATACTTTTAAAACTATAGCATAATCAAAATGTGAAAATCAATAATAGTTAATGAAGGTAATGTTAACAGATTTGTTTAAACACCCGCTGCACTATTATGAAATTGAGGAAGTAGAAGAGCAAGTTGGAAATAAAATAACAGTGTTCTTAATTCCTTTTACTGCACTGTTATTCGACAGTGCAGTATATGAACTGAAATTTTTAAAGCATCACATGAAATCCCTTGAGAATTAAGACTGCAATAATTATTCAAGTATTCTTATGCACACTATTACTGTATAGACCCTAGTTATTTTTCTTCCATGAATGAAGTTTAGTATTGTTTGTATAATTAATCAATGACGTTTAATATTTTGGGATACATAATCAAACACAGAACCAAAGACTAGGTTTAGGAAAAAATCATATACATATAATTTAGTCTTGTAGGACAGACCAAAGTTATTGAACCTTCCAACACTTCTTTATTGTAAGGAGAGAAGGTTAACATTTCAAATGGTCTGTGAACATTTCAAAAGCTCTGTGAATGCTTTGGTATAGCTACAGGCATCACTGTACCTATGACACAGACATTGTTATTCAGAAAGTAAACCAGGGCTAAAATTTCCAGTATATATATATATATATATATATATATATATATATATATATATATATATATATATATATATATATATATATATATATATATATATATATATATATATATATATATATATATATATATATAATCATTAGCCAAAGATTTAATCCCAGGACTTCTAGGTGGGAACTGGGAATGTTACAAATGCGGCACTCCCAGTTCCCACTCGGAGGTTCCTGGGTTCAAATCTTTGGCTTGTGAAGTATGGTAGTTTGAAGTTGCTGGAATTAGCTTCAATATACTAATGTATACTAAAGCTAATTCCAGCTACTTTAAACTACAGTAACTGATTCTCAGCTTCATAAATTTGTGTTAATACCTGTAATGTCCAATTCTTTAATTGGCTCCATCATACTGCCCTGTAACCAAATTTATGACATTAAATTTATACAGTATATAGTTTGAAATATTTAGTTGTGGTTACTTGTATCTTTCCATGTACTAATTGTTTTGGCAAACTGCAGTACTGTACTGTACTGCACAGTACTAAAATTGAAATATTTACTAAAAGATTTCCACTTTGCAATTATTTAGTAAGACAGAAATATAACAAATTTTCTATAAATTTGTCTGCACTTGTCATGAAATAATTTTCTTCACTTTTTCCATTTTTTCCAATGTGAATTGCTTTTGTTACACAAAAACTGTCAGCAATGCGAGATACAGTGTTCCCTCGGTTAACGAACACAATTCGTTCCACAAAGTCGTTCGTTAACCGGAAATTTTGTTAACTGAATCCATTGTTTCAATGGGATATTGGGTAATTGGTTCCAGCTCACAGAAAAGTACATACAAAGTAAAAAAAAATGCAGTAAAGTACACTTACCTTGAGGTGTGTATGTAGAAGGTTCCTGGTTGATGATGATGAGAATTAGAAGTGGGGGTGGAGGAGAAGGGAGAAAAGAAGGAAGTGGGGATGGAGGAGAAATCACCTTTCCGGGGACCTATGCTTGATGCAGTAATTTCACCAATAAAATTTTAAGTTTACTAGGTGTAATTCAAGATTATTTTATTTAAATCAACACTGCACTGCGCTAGATATTATTAATATGTTAACTATATTTCAGAATTACCAATAATTTTAATGTAAAAAAGCAAAAATATTCGAGACACCAACAAAATTGATGTTCACTCCACTGTCAACAAAGCCAAACTGACGCCTGGTGGCAGAGTCAAGCGGCTGATGGGCGCACAAAAAAATAGTTCCCTGTACTGCATATATTATCAATATGTTAGCAATTTTAAAATTACTAATAATTTTAATATAAAAAATGCAGAAATATTAAAGTGCACAACTTTCTTGATATTTACTCCACTGGAAAAGAATGCAAACACAGAACTGATTACTGAATTGGTAGACTAGCCCATCAGCTGATGCTCACAACAAAACGTGTTTATCGTTAGGATTTCGTTAACCAAATTGAAGATCCTTATGGGAGGTAATTCGTTAATCGAAATTTCGTTAATCGGACCATTCGTTAACCGAGGGACCACTGTACTTTGTTTAACAAAATTTTTACATAAATCTACAGTAAATATACAGGTATTTAATTCTAAGTAAGAAAAGAATATGTACCTTTGTAAATATGTACAAGATTTATATTTCTTGTCATATTTTGTATTTCATTTAATTTAATTTTCCGAATTGTATGTCGACCCTGAGATAATGAGATATTCTGAGTTGTCACATTTTCCTTAGTTTCCAGGACATACCATTTTGCCAGTATTGTATGAGAAAATTCAGCCAATAATCTGTTCACACCAAATCCAACATGATCTGCAGATGATAGGTACAGTCAGTAAAATATTAATCTGCACCTTTACGGGTTCCTACAGTATGACACCCCGGACCAAGAATTCTGAAAACACTCATGAGTCACAGAGGATGTTGGTAGCCCTGGCTTCCTGAGTTGCCAGTTACTCTGTAGATAGTATTTAAAAATAATTAAATCAATACTGCCACCTGCCATTACAACCCCTGCTGTTTTCTCTGATGGTCTGCCCTTAGCAGATCGAAACTGCTCCGTTTCTAACAAATTCATTACATTCTTTTAAATGATCACACTTCCTGTGGCGAAATTCTTTGCTACACTGTGTTAAATAACACTGACAATGTTCTTGCTCTGTGAATTTTACTACCAGTTACCCCCGGTCAACCGCCTATTCTTATCATATATTGACATATTAAATTGATAAATTGATATAGCTCGTTTCTTAACTCGTATCTTTCCGGTAGCTCAGTTACCTATGCGTAATATTGTATAACTTTCCTACGTTACAAATGTTTCGTATTGTTTTTTTTCTGGTTGAGGTCTTGTACTGTATTATGCCACTTCTCATCACTTTCCCAGATAGTGGTTATAATCATGAGTATTTACACAATTTCGCTGTATCTCATAGAATGCGAAATTCCTATACAGCACCTCAGTTTCTATAGTGCCTGCCATTCCTACCGTATGTGGGTGACTAAACGTAGTACTACGGTACCGTATAGTATACTGTATACAGTGTAATGCTATAACTTTATCTGGTTTAAGTGCTATGGGTTTTATATGTATTCCTCATTATTTTTACAATGAATTATACAATCAGAGATACCAACCTTACCAATACATGGCGTCAGTCTCACAGTGTTTGTTGCGAAAGCCATCGCACCCATGGGTGCAGAATAATTTTTTGCTGACTGTTCATCATTAGGGTTTTATTTTGCTCTGTGTATTTTCTTCTCATTATGAAGGCACTAATGGAGACTTACCGGTGCTAGTAATATATTTTTTTGTAATCAATCAAATTAGTTGTTATTGTGACTGCAGCTTTTAATGGCACTGAGGCTCTGTTTGTGTCTGAGGTTTGGAAGATGAGATGAGGCAAGCTGCAGTAGATGACTGTCAGGTGAAGGTACCGCATGGTGTGCACTGAGGTGTGGTTAGGATGCCACATGGTGTGTACTGAGGTTAGGATGCCACATGGTGTGCACTGACGTGAGGATTCCACATGGTGTGCACTGACGTGAGGATTCCACATGGTGTGCACTGATGTGTGGATGCCACATGGTGTGAACTGAAGTGAGGATGCCACATAGTGTGTGCTGAGATGAGGATGCCGCATGGAGTGCACTGAGATGAGGATGCCACATGGTGTGCACTGAGATAGTACCACATGCAGTGCTCAACTAAGCATCCTAGCAGCAGTCGGATGTTAATATAATGATCATGTTGCCATATATGATTATAAAACACAATTTTCATGGTTTTAAATAATTCTATAAATTGTTGAAATACCTGAAAATAATGTTTTATATTATTTTCAAAAGAAATTATACTGCAAATGTGTTCATATACAGTGTGTATGTTACATATATGCTATTTGGGTGACTGAATGTGTTCTTTGAATATGGTTTATGGCTATTTATGCCAAAGATGTATTATAGATAGAGATTATAAACAGTATATAAAGACATTTTATCCTGTATGGACACTTTCTGTACAATATGTTAATTTTAATTTTTATCCTATACAGTATCTGACATGCTGAGTACTAGTGGGTCTTGGATAATATGTTGCAATAAGCCATTACTTTGTTTAAGAATATGAGTCTTGTTGTGTCATCAGGACAGTCTCCTTTACCAAGGTGTGTTTTGCCTAGTTACCCCCCATTTGTAGACTAGCGACAGTTTTCTGTGAGCCACTGAGGTAAGTATGGACATATGACTCCTTTTTTTTAAAAATTGGCAAGTAAAAATACTGTGACATTCATGTACTGATAATAAAAAAAGCTTATTTTATTTTCCTAGAGAAAAATTCATTACTTCAGGGATCATATTTACCTACTTCATCACAAACTTTTACGACTGAAGATTATTTGACCTCACAATGTCAGATTCTTTCCTGGCATGTTGGCACCACAAAGCCTTGCATAGGGTCAGTGGTTGGATGATTCTACGACACTGCTACTTGGTGGGGTTGTGATCATTGGTCTGGATGGGGACTTGACAAACTGTGGATTGGTTTACAAACCTGCGAATATGTTGGGCCTCCGGCAATGGTGGGAAAGTGTTTTAAGACTGCCACTAAGTAGTGTCTTGACAAATTATAGGCTAGTTTATGACTTAAAAAAAAAGGCCTTTCTCAATAGTGATGTGGCTTATAACCACTCTACTAAGTAAAATCTTAATTGTACTTTCATTCACAAGATTTGATAAAGTTTCAGCCAATCAAATACTGAAGTACTAAATATGGCCTCAACCATTAATGAATTGGTTTTCTAGAATGCTCCTAGGTAGAGGCCTTAACCTGTAGTGAACTTGTTTACAGGACTGCAGTTAGGTAGACCTTTGACCAATAGTGGAGTGGCCTATAATACTGCGACTAGGTATATCCTTGACTAGTAATGGTTGGGTCTGGATGGGGCCTCAACCAGTGATAGACTAAGTGGAGACTAAGAATGGGAACAATATGAACTCCCTCTGCCCTTCTTAATAACCTTTATGCCAGCCGCTGTCCCTGCAAATTTTAACCCCATATTGTTACTTCCCTCAGTCTGTTGACCAATTCTACCTTGGAATGTACACAACTTGTAAATAAATCATGTAATTTTGTTGTAAGTAGAAAGTAACACATTTTTATCATGTGTTGTACAAATGTACAATCTTTCACTTGAAGTAAAAACCTTCTGCCATTATAGTATTATAATTTACCCTATCTGACTATTCCTTTATTATATTCAATCAATGGAGGACCTAACAGGCCTATAAACACATCATTACCCCTATAATGAGTGAAAGATTAAGGGAAATCAACTGGTACCACTCACAATGAGGGACCCACCACTTCCAACATCCGTCACACAGTCTAATCGATTTTTCGGGAAAGACTATTCTTTTTGGGAAATATTATTTCCAAAGTAGATATCAAGAAACGGGAAATTTGTATCATAGAAAATGGGAAATATCTACTTTCCGGGAAAGTTATATCTACTTTCTTGTGTATTTTTCTACTTTTCAGAGAAACGTGAAATCTGTATCACAGAAAATGGAAA